AAATACTGCCTTGGTAGAGTGGGTCCCCCATCCTAGGTGGGGACTATGACTTTCAGCAGGGCTCGGCATTCCAGGACACAGTGTGCTCATGCACTGTGCCGAGCACATCTGACGATTTACTTTGCCTCATAGAGCATGAAGAGTAAGAAGAAATGGGATTCAATTTGCTCTAGTGGGTTTGTTTTCTTTGTTTTTGTTTTCTGTTTTTTTTTTGTCTTTTCTGTGCTTTAAAAATAATGTGAAGTCCCTAGGGAACAACCAAAGAGCTCAATGAAGTCCGAATGATCGGACACTTCAATATCCATGAAGCCAGAAGACAGCTGAGACTGGCACTGTGATTAAGCAGCAATTTAAACAAACACATGAAAACTCCTAAAATACTCAACAGTTTGGAAGGCACTCTTGCTTCCTTCTTAAATAGCGACAGAGGAATTCCTCATTAATTGACTGTTTCCTGAGTGGATTTATTTCTGCACATCCTTTTGAGAATCACTAACATACTGGTTCATGCTTGTGGGTCATTCTTGTTAGGAAATCTCTTTAAAGGTATGCGAAGGCAGGGAGAAGACAAGGAAATAAGGCCAAGGCGGAGAGGAGTAGGTGGAAGAGGGGGGAAAACGGAGGGAGATGCCCCTTGACTCAAATTTCAGTCTATGGACTAGGGAGCACTTGGGAGCGGGTTAGAAATGCAGAATTTCAGGCCCCACCCACATCCACCTAAATGAAATCGATGTTTTAAAATCTGTATTTTAATTTCTAAGCACAATGATGTTTTTGAGAAGCACTGCTTTCCTGTCCACTGCAGGCTCTCTCATGTCAGAAGGAGATGAGATACGGTGAGAGAAATGCACAGCGTGTCCTCACCTGGGTGACCCAGGACAAACGACAAAACCTGTCCGAGCTTCATCTCCTAATCTGTGAAAAGGAGATGGTACCATCACTACTACTACTGACACGACAGGGTGGCTCCAAGGACTTGAGCGAGTTGCTAAATAACCCTTTCAAAGCTCTTGGCACAGAGTAAGCAACACATGTTCATCAGATTTTTGTTTTTAAAATGCATGGCGGTATTTTCTTCATTCCTGGCTTAACGGATATACGATTTCAGAACATTATAATTTTAACTTGAATTGCTTTTAAACTTATTTTTCTTAAGCAAACTAATAAACTAATTCTCAACATAAACTAGAAGTTTAAAATATATTATCAAAATATGATGTTACAGATATACATAAATGCAGGCATACCTCCTTTCATTACACTTCACAGATACTGCGTTTCTTTGCAAACTGAAGGTTGCTGGCACCCGTGCACTGAGCAAGCCTATTGATGTTATTTTTCCAAAAGCATTTGCTCACTTCATGGCTCTGTGTCGCATTTTGGTAATACTCACAATACTTCAAACTTTTTCGTTATTATTACATTGGTATGGTGCTCTGTGATCAGCGATCTTTGATGTCACTATTGTAATTGTTTCGGCATTTTTTTTAGCAAGAAGGTATTTTTTAATTAAGGTACGCACACTGTTTTTATCAGACATAATGTTCTTGCACAATTAACAGACTACAGTAGAGTATAACTTTCATGAACATTGGGAAACCAAAAAATGTGTGTGCCTCGCTTTATTGTGGTGATCTGGAACCAAACCCTCAGAAGCTCTGAGGTATGCCTGCAATGGGAGAAAACATACATTCATAAAATAAATTTAGTATGCATGAGCCTCTGAATAATTAATTATCTTAATCTCATCTTTAATTGTAGATGTTATAAAAGGCTTTTGACACCATTTCAAATCCCTAGAATGCTTCACCCTGCTATCTAGAGGCAAGAATGTGGTTAAACTGAAAAGGAAGTCTGTCTGTACTGGAAGTCTGTCTGATCGCTCCACTGGTGCCTGCCTGGGTGTCGTGGTTTTATGACGTTTACACTTAACACAAGTAAAAGAAGAGGAAAAGGGGGCTTTAAGGGACAGGCAGGGGCTACAGTTAAAAGGCAGATGATATCTGTACCAATATAAAAAGTCAAAGGAGGCCATTTACAGCATCATGGACCTAGCAATTACCATACTATGTGAAGCAAGACAGAAAGAGAAAGAAAAATACCATATGCTATCACTTGTAAGTGGAATTAAAAAAAAATGATACAGATGAACTTATTTACAAAACAGAAAGAGACGTGCTTATTTACAAACAGAAAGAGACGTAGAAAAGAAACTTATGGTTACCAAAGGGGAAAGGTGGGGGAGGGATAAATTAGGAGTTTGGGATTAGCAGCTACAAACTACTATATATAGTAAATAAACAAGGTCCTATTGTGTAACACAGGGAGCTACATTCAGTATCTTGTAATAACCTATAATGAAAAAGAATATAAAAAAAGTATACATATATAACTGAATCACTATGCTGCACACCAGAAACTAACATAACACTGTAAATCAACTAAACTTCAATTTAAAAAGTAAAATAAAAAGAGCCAAAGGAGGACATGCTGATAATGGCACAAACCTTCTAAAAATTAAGCACAAAACCAAACACTTGGTGGTAGCCATTATACACACGGCCAAACTGACTCTTCTATGCCATCTTCCTGGCAGACATATTATGGGATGGTGTATGCCTCACTAAGAGTGTGAGAGTGTGTGTGTATGAGAGAGAGGTGACAATGTGTATGAAGAGAGGTGATCGGCCATTTAAACAGATGCCACAGAGGGCAGTGGATGTCCCAATTACAGGGCCGGGACTGAGGCAGGGTGAGGGCACACCAGCCTGGCACGGCCTCCTGGAGGTTAGTTGGTCATGTCAGAACAAGTAATGAGTGACCCAAGAGCGTTACTTTAAAAGAGCTTGAATCCCCATGTCACTCTGAGACCGCACTGGGAACGACCTGGGAAGAGCGTGAGTCCAGCGGGCACGCAGGCGGGAAGGGGAACGGAAGCCGAAGGGCGTCATGTTTAACTGCATACACTCAAGAACACCTGGCAGGAATGAAATTATGACTTTGTCTTTCTTCCTCTGTTTTTAAGGAAACAAAAAAGGTTCACTGAAGTGGTGTTTTGTTTGTTTGTTTTGTTTGTTTGTTAAGGAGCTTTGTTATTCTCTGTCTCTGGGATGAAAAGTAAGATCTTGTTCTCTCTCTCCCCCAGTGCCTTCCTCTTTGGAAATCAAAGCTTAAAAAAAATAGTCTGCTGGATTCTTCTATCTATCTCGCTGGAAATTCTCTAAGAAAAACACTGCCTTCTAATCTTTCTGAGATGTCCCGGAGGGACAAGACTGAGGGACCCCACTGGAAGGGGCTTAAAGCAGTGCCTGTTAACATCCCTTTCATCATGTGAAGCCAGAATTCAGGTCAGCACTACCTGACAGCAGCTCACTGGGGCGGCGAGCTGGGAACTGACGGATGGGCTGTGATTGGAATGGCAGCAGCTCCACGTACCCTCTAGAAGGTGGCTGATTGACGGTTTCCCACGCAGCATCTCTGCCTGCATCTGTCTCCTGCATCTCCTTCATCTGCCTTGTTCTGGCAGTTTCCCCAGCCTAGAGTACCATTATCCACCTATTCCTCCTCCTCATGGACTCAGGTTTCATAGACCAGGTCCAATACCACCCCTTGCGGCTCCTGCCCTCACTTCCCAGGCAGAAGAAGCCCCCACTCCCTTGCTTTCTGCATGACATTCACTGCTCTGCTGCACATAACCAGGGCCATGGGCAAGCTGGTCTTCCCGGCAAGGCTCCAAGCTCTTCTGGATTGGTGTTTACTTCTGACCCAGAACTAACTGCTCACGAAGGAGCACAGAGCATGACAAGCGGTCAACACACAGAACAATGACATTCCTCTTTAGAAATAAGAGGCCTAAGGTAGCTACAGCCAACTCACAAACAGAGGAGTTTAGAAAAACCATGCAAAGAAAAGGCCGAGTAAGTAGAGGGCTCTGCTCGCCGTGTTTTTCCAGATCCACCCACGTGGCTCAGCCTGTGTTCTTTCACTCAAACCTTGGGCACAAAGCGATGCATGGAAATGCGCTAAAAAGGCATCTGAGTGCTAAATTATGACGCAGGGCTGGGCTGGAATCCTGGGTCTATCTCCCAGGTCTACGGCTCTGGGCAAGTCAGTTCCTCTCTGTGAACCCTTCTATCCTCATCTGAAAACAGCAACAACATGTGCAGCTAACAAAAATCACAACCATTAAATCAACAAAGATAAATGGAAAGAGTTCCAAAAGCAAGTAAGTAAAACAGAAAAGTGTTTATATGTTTTGATCAAAACTGTATAAAAATATATCTGTACCTGAACAATAACTAGATGGTAATATGCAAAAAACCCAATTATACTACAGAATAAACTATGAGGGGTTTTCTCAAATATGCTTCATTATTATTACATCATATTTTCCACTAAAGAAAGAAAACTGGAGTGAGGCCTTCCAGGACTGCCATGGACATCAGACATACGAAAGGTCTTTGAAAACTCTGGGACACAGAAAACTGTCACATTGCTGTTGCTGCTATGCCTACCACTACCACTGCACCTGAACAAAAAATCCTTCTAAAAATGGCACGGAGACATACACTGCCCCAGACTTACAAAGCCCGTATATGCTTAGTCGTCAGACAAGACAGATCTAACATATAAAAGGTTTTTAAAAAAATGACATATACACTCGGGGAATTTCCATACGTAATTATACACTTAGCCCCCTGGAGACGTGCAGCCTTCCTGTCCTCAGAGGCTCAGAGCAGTTTCCTTCCGTGGCCTCCCTCGGAAGGGAGTGCTCCACGCAAGCAAGGCTCAGGAGGGAAGGAGAGTTGTCCTGCCGGAGCTGATGGGGTAAGAGGATGGCCGGAAAATGTGTCTCCAGATGCACAAAGTCCTTGGCTCTTCCTTCAGAAACGCCTAGAAAAGACGCTTAGTCCTGGAAGCTCCATAAACATGGATCCTAAAAGCAATTCAAAGACTCGACGGACATCATTAAGTCAGACAACAAATTGCTCTAGTCTTACCCCTTGTCCACACTGGCGTGGACTGCGGCGACAACCCCTTCCAGGACGCGGAGCGGGTCTGCCGGCCCTCCAAGGTCAGCACTGCCCTCACTGTGAAGGGAGACAGAGAAGAACAGATTCAGAACAGGATGGTTCAAGTCTCGGAAACAAGCTGGGAGTTTACACTCGGGTAAACCCAGCTGGATCTCGGCACAGCATACGGCCGGCTCATAACCCCTCACAGTATACGCAGCCTACTGGTGTGCCAAGTCCTGTACTGGGTGTGAAGGATGTGGAGATGAAAACTTCTCTGCCCTGAACACTCACAGTCTAATATACGCTCATTTTCCTATCAAAAGAGTAACAAAAAAAAAAAAGGAAAGAAACGAGAACAACAAAATCTACGTGCATTCTGTCATTCAAAAATACATTCAATGGACATTAAATATATGAGCTATTTTAAGCATTAAATATATAATAATCATCTAAATTCTCCAGTTGGCCTTTTTTTCAAGGCAGTAATATTTACAGGGTACTTACTAGGTACCAGGCACTGCTAAGCGCCCTACACATATCCTGCCCTGGAACAATCTCAGCAGCCCACGAGGCAGGCCCTGTTATTATGCCCATTTTACAGACGTGTATTTCTGGAACTCTATTGAATTTTGAAAATGCAATAGAGGAAAAAGGTTTACATGAGTTTTCTGAATAATTTAAGTTATAGGATTGAAACCAACTCCTGGATTCAGTATGCTCACACCTTTGTCATTTTATGCCTACTGAATTTTACTAACCTTCTAAAAGATAACTGTTATGGGTGCTGTCAACAGCAATTTCTTTTCCTTTGAAGAAGAGGTAGCTGACCTCCTGAAGTCCCCTTTCCTCCCACTACTGAAAGAGTTAATTCACTTTTATTGAATGTCTTTTGTGTGCTAAGTGCAATATACCTTAGATCAGAACAAAATCTTTAGTAGAACTGGGTACCGGGAAGGAGAGGGGAGTATGATTTGTCAGAATTTTACAAATGTAAAAATATCACATCATATTTTGATGATTAATGAAAATGTGCAATTTTTGAAAAAATAAGCTAAATTACATTCAAAGCACTAATTATTGAAACTTCTGTATTTGTGAGCTTCATCTAAACCTTGATTTAGGGAAGAAAAAAAGACAGCTGAATCAAAAGATACAAAACATGGCAATTATCTGTCACCATTTGAATAAGGAAAGTGCCTCTAAAAAACCACCACCAAAACATGGTCAGCTCACAAGAGAATAAAGCTTTATTAATTTTCACATTTGTTATTTCTTAAAAAAATGTGACGGTATTTTATTTCTCTCCCTATATTTAAAATCATGAGAGACCTCAGGGCATTAAGGTGAAAGCTGTATGAAGCTGGGTAATTAAATTGATAAAGGCTCATTTGATTTCAGTTCAGCTGCTGAAAACTGAGACGCATTTAATCAGAAAGTTTCTCAAGAGCAGCAAAGTACAAAGAATGCTTAAAAGAAGAATAAATTAAACACAACTAAATCTTTTAGCCTAATTGCATTATTCACAGAAAGCACTTGATGCCTCATTATTTTCTTAGCTTAACTTTCCCCTCTCTCCTAATCCTCTTGGAGGCACCCTTACAATGGTACTGGCGAATTGACAGAAAGCTAGAATTTCTCAATTGTCGGTTTTATGCCATTATTTGCAGGTAAATAACTTCCTAAGATCCTTAACAGATGTCTAGCTTCTTCAGTATATGATTAACCTTGCCTTGCGTACTTCAAAAGAAGCTCCTGGGAACTGTTTTCCCGCTGCTACAGAGAAGGGAATGAGAAAACACAGCTCTGAGAAGCCACACTGAAGTCGCGTGATGGCCTAACAGTTACCTGTTCCCATGCCATTTCGGTCTGTCCCGGATTTCAGGTACTATCTGAGTGGGGGAGAGGGTCTACCTGGAGGTTAGCGAGCTTCTTGACATGTTACACATGATACCAGTGACGAGACATTTGTGTGGTTCCCCATTTTCAAGACATTTCAAGACATGAGACTCAGAAGTCTACTTGCAATCTCTCACTTTTATCAAATACTTCATAGTTTATAAAAATGCTTCTACATGCACGATGATGGTTTACTTCATAACAACCGTGAAACAAGCACTTTTACTGGCAAAATACTGCTTAGGTTTTCCTCAGTGACGATTTTGTCGCCTACCTTAGTGCAGAGACGATTTTCATCACTGCGCTCTGTACTACATCCCTGGGCGAGATGTTGAGGGGGCCGACGGCCACCTCGAGCAGCTGCTGAATCATTCTCAGAGGCTGCCCGTCCAAACACATGGCCACAGCCTGATCATGAACTTTCTCTTTTTCTGACCGGGACAGATCATAGATGTAACTGTATTTCTGCAGTGTTTCCTGCAAAGATATGGAATTCAATGTGTAAATATCAAATAGAAATTAAACGTTTCTACATGGACAGAGTGAAACACTCTCAGGAGACTCTCAAAGCAAACGGGCTACGACCACAAACACCACACAGAGCAACAGGTAGTGGCTGTTAAGAGCCTGGTCTCCAGGACCATCCGGACTTGAGTGAAAACCCTTGCTTTACGACTTACTAGTTCGTAAGCCGCTGAGATCTCCAATTTCTAGTATCTGTAAAATAAGGATGAGGAAAACTGTGAATAGAGGGTGTTGTTCACATTCAATAATATAAAAATCAGTCCTTTGGCACAAAGCCAGGCACAAGTAATGCTCGTTACATGCAAATTTCTCTAGCATTATTATTGTGTTCTAACCATGTTCAACAGTTATAATCTATTAAGCGTCAACTATGTAAACCCACATATTGTACATATGTTATCTAATTCAATGTTTATAATTATCCCACAAGGAGTTTTAATTAGCCCCATTTTATCAAAAAAGAAATTGAAGGGTAAAGATGTTCAGGAGCGTGCCCAGAATCACACAGCCAGCCACTGATGGAGCCAGGATTAGAATCCAAAATTCTGCCTTCCCCACTACACCCTCCCGTCCCACACTGCCCGCCCCTCTTTGATAACAGCTGTAAAAACTAATGTGACAATAAATCATTTAAGAAACAGGACACAAGCTACCAGATATGACCACAAACCAAATACGATAATGTTAATAATGCTGTCCAGGTTTTGCAAGTAATTCTGAATATAACTGCTTTGTCTTTCAAAACAACCATGTGAAAATCGAAACATTAACTGGACATCTGATGATATTAGAGAACTACTATCAACTTTCTAATTCGTAATGGTGGTAGTGATGTTTCAATGTATCTTTGAGAACCAGATATGGAAGGATTTGTGGGTAAGATGAAAAGATGACTTGGTTTTTCTTTAAAATGATCCACAGGAGCATAGGAAGGGTAGGTAGGGGCAGGCATGAAATAAGACCAGCCACATTTTGATAATTGTTGAAGCTGGGAGTCGGGCACGTTGAGATTTCATGTTACTATTCTCATTGTGAAACTTTCTATTTTAAAAAAAAAAAAGCCCATGGGTTAGGCAGGGCAATTATTAATATATTTACCGAGACAAGAGGGAACTGAGGCTCCAATGGACAAAGTCCTTTAACTGAAATTGGACTAACCTCAAGTATGTAAGATGCTTTTTCATTGGTTATATAATTAAAGAGGTTAAAATCAAGGCCTGAACTTAAAAGAGACAAATACATAAGGTTAAGGTTATTTCCAGCATTTGCTATGATAGTCACCTTAACAAAATCAAATAAGGTCCAGTTTAGGAACCAGAAGAGTCTCCTATTATAGACCATCCATGGTCTAACTGAACATTCGCAAGGAGCCAGCTGGTACCCTTAAATCACAGCCTAGTTGAAGCAAGCAGCTTTTTTGTTACTAACCCCCTGGCCTCGCATACGCTACTCTATCCACTGAAAGACTGTACTTATTCCAAGAAGGGTAAGGACAATTCTCCGGATCTGAATACAGAATATGCGATTAGAAAAAATATATACTAGTAGGTATAAATCACTTTTACTTTAAGAGTCAGATTTTAGCCTAGTTCTTGTAACTACTGTGAATCCCAGCAGGATACAATCAAGATCGGTAAAGCGCACATGCTCCCCGCAAAGGCGTCTACGCCGCTCACGTCATTATATGATGTTACTCGTTAGACAGGCTAACGGGCACTGAATACAAAATGAAATAAAACTGTTATCGAGCTTCTGAATTCTCCCCAGTATCTTTTCCACGCATTTATGCGTCTCACACATATTTTGAAATCTTCCCTTTGTTCGTTATCTGGACTCCTCTCCACTGACTGATCTTTCTAGTCAGGAAAAAAAAACTTTTTTTTTTTACAAGCCAAGAATACAATTCGGTAAACAAGTAAGGTTTAGGAAAAATAAAAGAGGAGGTTAGTGGCCACTTATAGGTTCATTTACCATCGCATTAAAGGGCAAGTGGAATATTTCTTATGTACCTAAACAGTGTTTTCACCTAGGTGAAAACTATTTACTTATTTGTCAACTTTTCAGTCACGGAAAATCGTGTTAGAGTTCCCACAATGGTGATAAGACAGCAGAGAAGCTCCGGAGGCCACAGGGGTCCCCTCGCGTGGTCCCAGCTCCCTGGTCCCCAGCCTCGTCACGGCAGGGGCTCCTCATTCCCACCAGGGTGCTTTCTGAGATGCCACGAAGGCCTCAAGTAGAAATCACCTACGAACAATCTTATTAGCCAAAACAAGTTACGTCAATAATAAAGGTATATTGGAAAATGCAACATAAAAACAGGATGAATACATGTAATTGGGGGGAAAAAACCACTGAAGCATATGGATGGCTATTTCTGAATTTTTCTGAAAATGAGAGGGGAAAAAAATCTATCGTTATTCAACTGGAGAGCAGAACACCTACCAAGCCTGAAAACCAGAGGCTTGATCATTTCTCAGCTTCTCGGCCCCAGCTCCATCCTGGCTTCAACTCAGGCCCCTCCTCTCCCACCCCCGCACCTCCTCGCCTCCTTCCTCCACAGGTTATCGACTGTCTTAAATGACCTACAATTCCTTCTAAAGCAGTAAAATCCCAAATGACAATCAAGAAATAATGAAGAGGTTAAAGGACAAAGGTTTGAGGATGATTTTCAAAACTATCTGCAAGACTGAAAACCCTGTCAAAACCGCAAACACAGCCTTAAAGGGTAAATGAAAGCACACACTGTATCACCCGAGACAGTGACCAGAGGAAGTTCTCACGCAGTACCTGCTCGCTAGTCCTCAGAGAAACGATGAAGCTGTGGTTGAGGGTTTCCAGGTGAGCCAGTGATTTCTCCAGATGATCCAAGGCATCCGTGTAGGTCATTTTTGAATCGATAGCTTCTTGAACATCTTCTTCTGAACTTCTTTTCCTTGGTTTCTCAATAAAATGTTTGACTGCCTTAATAGCCTTTCCAGTCATTTCTTTACGTGCTTCCACAGAGAGCTTTAGCCAAAAAAAAAAAAAAAAGCAACTGAACAAGAGTGACACAAATCACCCTACATTATTATCTCTGGCATATTAATAAGGTATTAGTGTGACAAAGAGAACAAATGTAAAATTTTAATACTTACAACTTCCTTACAACTTCAGTGAATAGGACTTTTGCTACACTACTTTTTTCTTATGTGAATAAAACAAAAACAGTGAGGTATCACTTGCACTATTAAATTAGTAAATACAGATTTTTAAAAATGCTAATAACCTCCTTTCTGTGATTGAGAAATACAAGATCCTAGAACTCATGCTTACTTAGTTCAGCAGACCTCCCTGCGTTCCCCCATTACATGGATGGCAAGACTGAGCCCCAGTGAGGTTAGGTGACAGTCTGGGTTCATGATGAGAGTGAGGAGAGTGAAAGTCAGAGTTCAGACCCCTTGGTCACCAAGCCAAGTGCTCCCCTTTCACTGTGCATCACACAGCCCCTACTCAGTCATGTCTGCTCGCCACAGGCTCCCACAGAGGATGACGGAGTGTACACTGGCTGAGCGCTGAACAAAAAGCAAGGGCAAATAAGAATCTTGGGTATTCCACTGTGTAAACAGACCACAGCTTCTCTGACCTGGAGATCGTCAGTCTGAGCACAGTACGCCAGAAAGAGAAAGACAAATACCATTTGATATCACTCATACGTGGAATCTAAAAAAATGACACAAAAAATGGAAACAGATTCACAGATATAGAAAACAAACTTATGGTTACCGGGGCAGGAGGAGCAGGAAGGGAGAAGGGGATGGGAAGGGATAAATTGGGAATTTGAGATTGCAGATACTATGTATAAAATAGATAAACAAGTTTCTTCTGTATAGCACAGGGAACAATATTCAATATCTTATAGTAACCTATAATGAAAAAGAATATGAAAAGAAACATATGTATGACTGAAACATGATGTTGTACACCAGAAATTAATACAACATTGTAGACTATACTTCAATTTAAAAAAAATGGGAAAAAAAAGAAACTAGGTTAGTGAATCCTTCCTATTCACTTACACTTGTTTTTCAAAGAAATATGAGTTTGGGAAGTTATTTGGCTGTACCACCTAGCCAAATGTTTATACTCGCCTAGCCAACTGGGGGGCATGGAAGGGTTTCAGCAACAGACTGCCAAGCATGCAGAAACAGGGCAGGCGACTCTCACGTGCAGGAAGCGGGGTTCTGGGAGAAACGGTGGGTCTCTCCGTCCTTAGACAGGTCCAGGTTTACCTTGCCATGGCCAACCAGCCCTGGAACGGCTGGTAAGTAGGAAGAGCACGAAACTCAGAAAACCTGTGTTTAACCCTTACTGCCTGGATGACTACGCAACTCGACAACATGCATCAAGCCTTACTTTCTTCATCTGTAAAGTGAAAAATGTCGTCTACACAGTGTCACTTTAAGAAATTAAATGAGGCAGTAAGCAAACTATCAGCAGAATGCTTCACCCACAGTAAGTCTCAAAAAATGGAAGCTGAGTTTCAATTTGACCAACTGCTCTAATACACAGGCCACCTCCCACCTGTTAGCTTTTCATCTTCCTAATACATTTATCACGTAATTCCCTTGCAGGAAAATCCTTCTATAAACTCCCCAAATTCCTTAGCATGGCACTCAAGGCCTTTCACGAGTTGGCCCCATGTAACCGTCTAGCCTCACAGTGTCATTGTAACCCACACCCTAAGCGCCCAGTGCCCAGACTTCTCATCATTCCCTGGTGTTGTGACGTATCTTCTTGTCTCAGTGAAATGCCCTTTCCCCTCTTCTTTGCAAGGCCAATTCCTAGTCGTGTTTCAATACGGAATCAGGCAGAAGTCTCCTGGACAATCTGTTCCTCCAGCTTCTACAGACAGTCTGTTGGCAAGTCCCCTGCTCCAGCAACTCACCAGCGCACAGTCCACCTGCTTACACACCAGGAGACTGCTCAGCATTACAGAGTCCAGGCCTCCCTGACAGAGCAGGGGGTTAAGGGCCAGAGAGAAAGCGTTGGGCTTTGCAGGCCACTGTGATCTCTGTTACATACTCTTTTGGTTGGTTGGCTGGTTGGTTCTTACAATCCTTTAAGGAGATGCAAAGGCCGGTCTTAGCTCAGGGCTGTGTAAGAACAGGCAATGGGCTGAATGTGACCTGTAGGCCAGTTTACTGACCTCCCCCGCCTCGATTAGTAATATTAAAATGGTACAACTGGAAAGATGAACTGAGAATAAATTGTAAGGAGCCTTGAGTGCCGGGTTAGTTATGGGAGCTGACCTGCAGGAATTCAGGAGCCGCTGAAGGAAACTTGGATCCTGAGGATAATTACATGGAAATGTTTTATTTCGGGTCCCATTTAAAAACACACAGTAGGAGAATCTTTTTTTTTTTTTAATCGCTATCTAAGAAAAAAAGCCATTCTGTCTGAAGCATGCCTTTGCTGTCCTCCCAGATCAGCTCAGGGTTCTCTCCTCTGAGACGTCGTCCCTAACACCATCTGCGGCCCAGGTTAAAAACCACTGCTGTGCATTCCTACAGCTTACCTGTATCCAAGAACGCATCACACTGTGTTAGAATGGTCAGTTCCTTGTACCTTTCCCTGACTAAACAATGTCATCCTTCAGGGTAGAAACTGTGCTTTTTAAATCTCTGTATTCCTAGCACTGATGCAATGTCTAGCACATTGTAGACAAAAAGAAAATAGCTGTTAAATTACAAAACGACTCTGATCAACATACAGGGGGAAAAAAAGCTTTAAAAGCACAATGAAATAACATGTTCTCAACAAGTCCCTAGAAACTTGTGGTCCAGAATGTGCCAAAAGGCTCCAATTCATCAATGACCGCAGTATCCTGTTTCTGTAAGAGGCCAGTCTGCGGCAGTTAGAAGCCACGCAGGCAGAGGCTCAAGGACATTAAACCAGCGATGACTTTTGGTGTATTCATTCGACATGCATCCAGTGGTCACGCTATACCTCTGCCTCGGGCTGGGTGCTGGCGACACAGACAAAATTAGATGAGGTCCCTGCCCCTGGGTATGTCAGAGTCTAGGTGGAAAGACATTACAAAGAAGCACGGTCATTATACACGTGCAGGAGGGTGAACAGCACCGCAGTGGAGGGCCCGGGAGGGGGTGCTCTGTCCCCACGGGAGGTGGGGGGGCGCTGGGAGGCAGGCTGGGTTTGCTGGGGGTGGCTAGTCCTAAGGCCTGTCAGAGCCGAGGAGGACGAAGCAGTGGTGCTAACTGCAGGGCCCCTGTGCCAGGCTGACAGGATGGCGCTTATGCAGAAGAGTGATGCCATCAGGGCCACCGTTTTCAGGTAATGGCTTGTTTCAAAATCCACCAAGACAACCTTCCTTGTGTGCAGGTACCTTCAGGCTGATAAATCTTGCAAAGCAGGTGCTTCTTTTTTTCCTTTTAAAAATGAACACAGCATGACCTTGAAGATAAGGCCGTTCAGGAAATGGCAGGCGACTTAAGAAAACCCAGCTGCTACCTACAGAGTCAGGTGAAAAAGTCAGGGTTTGCATTCGGTTTACATTACTAAGCAACTCCATAAAATAATGGGAAAATCAAGGGCAAAATTATTAAGAGGTGCAATTTAAATATAATTTGGGGGGGTAATGAATACTCATTTTTCAAAAATTAACACATCTTTGTTGTTCTGATCAAATACATACTGCAATAATTGAAAAATAACACAAGAATAATTTTTAAAAAAATCTTAGAGCCCTATGATCACAAGAAACACTTTAATGTTAATTTCTATTTATATAACTATTTTTGATGCGGATAAACAAGACTTTAAGCATAAAAACAACTTGCATTATGATGAAAATTATATAAAAGCAAACAACAAAAGCTCTCGCACAAAATGCCTCCATCTAAACTCCTTTACTAAGAAACTGGACCAAACAGCACTTGAGGCATGACTTCTGGCGGCTTAAGGCCTTGTCTCTAGGATGACGGAGTCTCTCTTAAAAAGCCTGCCTGACAAAGCTCAATGCTGCCAGCAGAATTTAGTCTGTTCCAGTCAAAACCCTCTAACTCCTCTCTTGGAGCAGTTACCTTAGAAAATGTGTAATTCTAAATCCTTTCTCTGCCACTTTGGAGATATAAATGGTGTACCACCCAGAAATGACTCATCAAGGACCTGGAAGCCATCTCTTCGAAATGCAAGCATTCAAGGAGGTGGCCCTTGTTAACTTCAGTGGGTGCCCTTGCTCCAATCTGCACACCTGTCCCCTGTCACAGAGATATGAGAAGTTTGCTTCTCTTCCAGGTAAGTGTCAGTGGGCAAACCTAGATGGCCCAGTCACGTGGACCGGTCCTGCCCCTCATCCCCTGCAGTCCCTCAGCGCATCCCAGCACTTCAAGTCATTCGCCTTTTCTTTCTGTGAAGTTGGACGCAGTTTATGTGAACTCTCTTCTCCACGGCAGTGCTTATCACTCAATAAAACCGCCTTTACCCCCTTAACTAGTGTCTAGCTTTATTTCTCTCTGATGAAAGAAGCGGAGTACAAGTGGCCTGAGAAAAAGGAAAGATTCAACTTTTACTGCTGAAGATGGGCTCGATCTCGTACTTTTTAAAGGGTCAGTGGTAGAGACCAAATCACTATGTTACCACAGATTACCCTGGACATAAATAAAGCCACATAACAGGTTTACTTTAAATGTCAATATTAAAATATTGAGAATTAGATCATCCTTTGTGACCGATTAAAATGATAGAAGATTTTAGATATCAAGTGCTATGGTTTGAAGGTTTGTGTCCCTCAAAATTCACATGTTGAAATCCCAGCCCCCACAGGTGATGGGATTAGGAGGTGGGGCCTGTGGGAGATGGGGGGTGGGGCCCTCATGAATGAAATCAGTGCCTCATACAAGAGGCTCCAGAAAGCCCCCAGCCCCTTTCAACACGAGAGGACATGGTGAGAAGGCACCTACGATGAACCAAGAAAAGGGCTTTCAACTCAACCACGTTGGCTCCTTTGC